TAGCAACAGAATGTTATGATCATTCAAGGTGGATTGTCTGATGCACTTTGCCAAAATGATGAGCTGATGCACAAGTCTGGATCTCTAGACCTCCATTTAGACTCTTACTCAACATAATAAGCCACAGTTTGTCTCTCCGCACCTCCTCGAACAATGCGCTTTCACATGAGGGCGAGAAACCACACTTAGGTCATGACGGCTGCATTCAACAGGTCCATACCATCGCCGGACCGACGGAAGGAATGTTTCGCTGAGAAATCTCTCGGTTTTTTTTTAACGTTGGGTTATCTGCATTGCAAACTGCCTAATCCCGGAGGAGATGGCGGTGATGATGTTTATGTTTGCGGATGTCTGGTGAACGCCGGGAAGGGTTTGGGAGGAAGTCAGCAGTTATGGGTTTGAGGAATGCTGATTGAGATCTTTTGCACAATCGCAGAGCTGTTGTTGCTTTAGTTTAAAATAAGCATTGACATATTTAAGGCCAAATGCAGTGGCACAATGTGCGTTCCAATTAGGGCGTGAAATATTGGAAGCATGAAAACTGACATTTACTGAAGAGAACATATTGCTGATTATTTCCCAACCTGTATAATGAAGAGCTGAATATTTGTATTATATAACCAAATATTGAGGCAAGAGGAAGTTTTCGAGCTCTAGGTTTGAATGCTCATTAATTTCCTCATTGTTGCGGCGCCTCTCTTCCCAGTCTGTCAGTAACGCTCTGTTCACTTCCTGTCTCTATGAAGCCCCTCCTTCTGAAAAGCACACTGTGCTCTGATTGGTCGGCTGGAGCAGCGTGTTGTGATTGGTCGAGTGCTTCGAGTGTGTTTGGGAAAAGTCCCGCCCCACCAGTTAACACACTACTAACTAACTTAACCAGGCCCCGCCCCTTTATTCTGCGTGTTAAATATTTAAATGAGGAATATTGTGACGTGTTCGTTCCCGGATAAAACTCAACACTACACTCTCAGAAAAAAAGGTACAAAAGCCGTCACTGGGGCTGTACCTTTTCAAAAGGGAAAACTTTTGTCCATTTTAGGAACTAATATGTATATTTTAGGTGCATTTTAAGTACTCTTATGTACATTCTAGGTGCTAATATGGACAATTAAGAGCTAATATGGACATTTTAGGTGCTAATATGGACATTTTAGGTGCTATTATGTACATTTTTGGAGCTAATATAGACATTTTAGGTGCTGTTATGTACATTTCAGGTGCTAGTATGTACATTTTAGGTGTTATTATGTATATTTCAGGTGCTTATATGTACATTTCAGGTGCTAGTATGTACATTTTAGGTGTTATTATGTATATTTCAGGTGCTTATATGTACATTTTAGGTATTAATATGGACATTTAGGTGCTATTATGTACATTTTAAGTACTATTATGTACATTCTAGGTGCTAATATGGACAATTAAGAGCTAATGTGTACATTTTAGGAGCTAATATGTACATTTTAGGTGCTAATATGGACATTTTAGGTGCTAATATGTACATTTTAGGTGCTAATATGGACATTTTAGGTGATATTATGTACATTTTAGGTGCTAATATGGACATTTTAGGTGCTATTATGTACATTTTAGGAGCTAATATGGACATTTTAGGTGCTGTTATATACATTTCAGGTGCTAGTATGTACATTTTAGGTGCTAATATGTACATTTTAGGTGCTAATATGTACATTTTAGGTGCTAATATGGACATTTTAGGTGCTAATATGTACATTTTAGGTGCTAATATGTACATTTTAGGTGCTAATATGGACATTTTAGGTGCTAATATGTACATTTTAGGTGCTAATATGGACATTTTAGGTGATATTATGTACATTTTAGGTGCTAATATGGACATTTTAGGTGTTATTATGTATATTTCAGGTGCTAATATGTACATTTTAGGTGTTAATATGGACATTTAGGTGCTATTATGTATACATTTTAGGTGCTATTATGTACATTTTAGGTACCAATATGCACCCTTTAGGCACTTTTGAAAAGGTACAGCCCCAGTGACAGCTTTTGTACCTTTTTCTCTGAGAGTGTACTATGGAGGCGTTTCAGGAGTTCAGAAACATTACACACTAAAGACTGTTTAAAATGTAAAAACAGCATAATAGGTCCTGAAGATTTACAGTACTTTTCCACAGCGCACCAAACCCGGCAGCCGGTGATTAGGTGACTGGGTTCTGACTTCTAATAATTTAATTTGCGCTTGGCATGTAGAAAATAATAGTATCAGTGAGTTCCGGATCATTAGGAATGCTTACAAGAAGAGTATTCAGGTCTCCTTGTAGAGAAAGACGTGCTCTAATCGTCATCAAATCAATATCCTTCAGTCCATTAGGTTATTTAGTGTCTTTGGATAAACAATGGGCTGAACGTCCATTCTCGTAATAAACATCAATGCATATTTTCAATCGTTTATTTCTTTAAAGCTGCCATTCAGTCACCTTTACGTCAATATTAATTGATGATCTGCCATCCTAATGAGTTTCCTCGGGGACAGAAATGTTGCCACATCAATTATTTCAATGCAGAAAGTCTCAATTAAGGGTTCATGCCAGAGCTAATACATCACAATTCTTAGGTCAGATGTCTTAAATGAGGTATTCATCATTATGGATTTTTTCTTGTTCCCATGGATAGTCCCTTATCAAATACAAAACCTTAGTGATTAAAGCCTATGTCGCATGATGTTTGTCTGGGGGATTTTTGTGTAAAGGAAACAGAAAATGTATTTCAAGTGGAAAGAGATGAGCTGGAAAACAAATCTAGCTGTAGTCTTTCACTTTCCAACAGGGAAACAAAACATAATGTCACCATGTTCACTGCAAGGTTATTAGTTTTCTCTATTATGCTCATGGGATATTCCCATTGATTGCTTTATGTAGCTCTTGTTTGTTTAATGTTTTGCCATTTGTGTTAACATGAAACTTAGTAGTGCATGGCATATTTCAAGAGAATCATTCAAATTGGTATAGAAGCATAAAATTTGGCACAGATACTCTCTAAGGGTCACTTTTTGGGAAAAAGGCGTTGACCACCCAAAAATTCAACATGGTGGCCATTTTTTCAACATTCTGTCAAATGCTGATTATGTCAACCGTTCAAACTACTGTGAAAATACTCTCTTCTCTCAAAAAAAATTTTTTTTTGAAAATAGTGCTTGTCCCCTTAAAAAGTTTAAGATGGTAACCATTTTTTTTTCAAGATGGCCGCCATTTTTCAAGGGTGATGCTATCATGAAATTTGGTACAAATATTCTTCAATGAACATTATCATGAAAAAAGGTGTGTGCCACTCAAAAATTCAAGATGGTGTTCCTTGAAGAGTATGTCTAATTTTACGCTTGTATGACTAATCTTTAAAAATGGCGACCATCTTGAATTTTTGAGGGACAAGCATCTTTTTCCAATAACATGTTCTTTAGAGAGAATATTATGCTTGGATCACTGTTTGAATAATTGATATAAAAGCATTTAATAGCAATGGCGGCCATCTTGAAAATTGGCCGCCAAATTGAATTTTTTAGTGGCCAACGCTTTTTTCCAAAATAGTGGCCCTTAGGGAGTATCTGTACCAAATTTCAAGCTTCTATACCAAAGTGAATGATTTTTTTTTACTAATCTGCTATACTATAGCTGGTTTTATTCAAATCAAATAAATGATTTAACAACTTTAGTAAATAAACCTGACTAAAAATTACAAACAATGCAAGTCAACAATAACTTGCTCCATTTTTCATGAAGTGTTTAAATGTACTTTTAACCCTCATTTTTACCCCCCAAATTTATTTTTTTTAAAGATTTTTTTTTATACTTCATCGGAATAGTACGACACTTGGTAAAGGTTTTATCCTTCAGTCCATAATTGAAAGAGTGCATTAGAAATGAATGAATGGGAAATGAGTTTGGAAGGGTTCGGTACTACATAAAATCTCGCTGAAAGCTCATTTTTGGAGATATCAACCTCAAATTTGGAGCACAACATTTCCAGCTTTGATTTTCTCAGTAAAACGAATTTCGGAAAATATATATTTCATATAAAACTTGAAAATGGGATTGTTGTGCTTTTTTCAAGTTCACTTTTTTAAACTTCAGCAATAATCTGAAGCCAAGTATCACTTTTAAAAAGAGATCGGAACTTTTGTCTATTAAAATCTGCTTATATTTTCTGTACACATTTCCCTCTTTTTCTTTACAGTCGTTCAGATTGCCACCATTATTTACTAAATATTTTGGTTACACTTTATTTTAAGGTGGCGCAGTTACATTTTGCATATTCAAATAAGTACTGAGTAATATTTATTAATGCATAGAGTTACGGTTAAGGTTTGATTTTGGGTTATGCATATAATATGCTGCTATTACTATATGCATCAATGTGTAACTAATAAAGTGTTACCAATGTATTATTGTGAGTGAATCTATCTCAGATAAACCTGCCCCAATATAGTTTATAATTTACTGTTTCAATTTACTGATTACTTTTCAATTATGCACTTGCAGGCTTCATCTTAAAAGTAATAATGCCTGGCCATATAGGGGCCTGTGGGCGAAAGGCTCTCACTCACTCATCTAACATGTAAACTGTTGCGGATTCAGCCATCTGAATCTAATCGTCACCATCTAAAGAGCACAACAGGCCTTTAGCTTGTTGATTTAACAGTACTGTAGCCCACATCCATTGTACCCTCTGGAGATTCACTGTTGTTTCCACGGCAACAAGCAGACCCTTGCCCTTCCCAGGGCTCCTGACATTCATTTGGACTATACCACCTCAGACTGTAAATCGGGTGGCATTATCACATCTAATATGACTAGTCTTCTAAATACATTCCATAAACTACACATTGCTAACGTTTTTTTAAATTGTTTACCATATAATAATGAAACAAATATGTATATAACGTAGATTTTAAGTATATTTGCCGTTAAAACAAGCAACAACCCCCCGCCCCCCCTTCCAGTCACATGACTTGGTCCCTCCTCCCACGATCTGTCAGAGCAGCTTGTTGCACGACCAGCTTGGTAAACTAACTTGAGTTCGGCGTTAAAATCTAAACCAGTTGCCTGACAAATCGCGTTTCGCGCGGACCGACGAGAATGTTCGCTTCGGTTAGAAAACAAGCCTTAATTTCTTTGACTTAACGAGTCATTTACGGCAGTTTCCATCGAGCTCTTTTTGCTGTCTGCGTGATTTGTGGTCAAGCGGCGGCAGGTCATGTTAACCAGGTAAGCAGCAGGTTAAATTCCCGCGTTTTCAGTAGCGAAAAGCTATATTTGACTGTTTATTTTCAATAGAAAATGTTCAATGTCAATACAGTGCTTGTCATTGCCGAGAAAGATAGAGTGAGTGTGTTTAGCTAACATTGGCTTCGTCGCTCAGTGATGTCGACATGGGTTTAGCTAGTAATGTATGCTCTCCTTGTTGCCGAGCGAAAAATAATGGATTGGAAAAATGAAAGTGCGCGATTGAGCCTGAGAAGTTTCCATGTTTACGTTACATGAAACGCCCGCGTGCTGCCCCGTTGGTGGCAGTGAGTTTGACGTTAGAATCGACGAAAAATATAATTTGACAGCTCATTCTTCGGGTTCGTTTTAGTTGTCAACGGTTCTTTTTCCGCGCCATCGCTCCGTTACTTCGTGATGGGAATTAATTTGAATCTTATCACGACAGTTTATATAAACCGCCTTCCGAGTTTAAACGCGTATAATGATGCAACAACTTAAATAAAACAATATGAACATGTATATCTTTTAAAGTATTTAATATTCTAAAATAATGCCTTGATACATTTCGTTATAAATCGACCAAGATCAAAAATAATCGGCTCGATATTCTCTTCGAAATAACGGCTTAAAAATAGTTTTTGTGTGTGGTAACGCACACACATAGATGACGAATGACGTTTATATTCTTTACTTCAGACTTGCCTTCTGGTCTTTTTCCCCGTCACCATCGCTGCGTGAGGAGAATGTAATGACGTCAGTTTATAAATAACCCGCGAATCTCGAACATTTCTGGCTTTGCTGGCTTGATATGTACAAATTGACATATGGTTAACCCCTCAAGACTAGTCCCGTCACGAAACCGCTCCCAAATCCCGAGCCACACCCCGTGCGCGCGCAGAGCACGTGAGAGCCGGACAGCTAGTGCTTTATCATTATCATCATCACCAACACACAACTACTTCAACTCTTCACACCACGCGCTTTATATACATTGTTTTTTTGTTTTGTTTGCGCGTCTGTCGTTGTCTATGGTACAGTATTAGATAAGAACACTTTCAAGACCTTATTCATGTAACGTGTTAGTTCAAGGTGGTTAGATATATTATCATGGTTCATATCCCAAAAATAGTATCATGATAAATGATGTTCAAAAACATCTTTCGCATGTATTTCAAGTTTGGGCCGAGACATGCAAAATGAAAGGTGATTTACCCGAGAAAGTGCTGAGAGACATAGATATGGAAGAGGATATATGCTAAGATGCTTTTCTAAATCTCAATAAGCATAATGCAAGTATGACCCAAATAGGAATCTAATTCCATGATCTCATTTTTATTTGCCCTCACAGCAAGTATCGCACCTTTCTCATTGTTTTTGTGAATTAAGCCTCTGTCTGATGATAGTCTGCACACGGTTGTTCTAGGATGTCTAGCGGGGTAATAGACGCCACAATTTAGCTTTGCATCTTAGTATAATGTGCAGTTTACTGTAGACATGTCAGAAAAGAGCTGACTAGAACAGGGGTCTTCTAGATGAAAAAGTTATATTTTAGTAGTTTATTGTGCTGAATTATTAATAGTCTCACAATAAAATGTATTAAGTGTAATTAAAATGTGTTGTTTACCATTAAAAATAAGTATTGATGGGCCTGTTAATGCATTAATGTGGTACGACATGACCTGTTCTAGAAATCTTTATGTAAATGTAGTTAAGGTTGGATGAATTTGCATCAGGCCTGTCCTATGCAAAAACCTTTACATTAAATGAATGAAAATGCATATGAAAAGTCTTTGCATTTCCATTTATTCGTTTAGTGGACACTGTGCTTTATTTGCATTTCTCTAATGCTGATTGCAAAGGAAACATGCAAGGACGGTATTGTACAAGGACATAGCATTGTACATTTATGTTACCGTTCATACTTCAGCTGCACACAGAAAAACCTTGATTTGTGTCACGTCATCTCTGCAATCCGTCCAATGCTGCAAAGAATCGATTATACTCTGAAACGGGAAGCTCAGAGGTGGTTTACATTTCTGTTGAACATTAACAACATGACACGTTTGATAAAGTAATCATTAAACGGCTTCACGAGAGCTTGAAATCGTGATATGCAACGTAATTAGTCAGAGCTGCTCAGATAAATGAGGAGAAAGCTAAATATTTAGGCTTGTGTCTCAATCTATAATAAGCTTTTAACATCCTGTGATTTTCCTGATGGGTTGAATTATTTACGTGACACTAAACAACGCAGAACCTTAAATTGTGAATGCACAGAAATGCTTGAGAAAGTTGATTTTCTTCCTTAATTTCATACTATCTTAGAATAAAAATGATTAAATAGTATTGCCTTATTCTTATTTTAAAGTAAGAGCGGCACATCTGTTTGTAACTTCAATATGCATGAATTTCCAAACTGGTATTTGTATCATATTATTTGAACGTATTTTTCATCATATTCATAACCACATTGGTTTGTTGCGCAAGTGTTTCTGAACTTTGTTATTCTTCTAGTTTGCACATGCAAAGAAAGCCTAGCCTACTTCCACATTGAAAAATAAGGTGGATACATTTGGACAACACAACACCGTACACCTGTATAATTTGTGCATTATTATTTGAATAAATGCTTTGGTTTTCAACCTTGATTCTAAATGCCAAAGGAGCAATTTCAGAAATGAGCACTTTAAACCAGTGAGAGTGTTTAGTGTAATCACATAGAGTTGACTGTCAGGGTCATCAGGGTTAGTTGGCAGCTGCATAGAGTGCGAGTGTGTGTCTCGCCTCATTGATGTTTAAGCATTGCTTTGTTTTAACATCGTTTGCCGTTGCTTTTGTAAAAGCACTCTGTCTGTCACATAATTGCAGTGCGCCTGCGGGAACCTGAGCCCCTAAAAGCAGGAGGCTTCAGCTGTTCTATTGATTTGGATGGAAACAGTGCGAAGCGGCTTCTGACTCATCACTTCTACCCGACTGCATCATCGCTCACGTGATGCGAGAGAGGAGGACGTGTGTGTCCTCGTCGCCCTACGGTAACGATGCTCATTGTCATAGTGATGGGTTGCCAGGGGATGCAGAGACCTTGGAGGCAGGCAGAGATGCTGCGTTTCGTTTGACGGAGGTGTGTTAGACATGCGAGAGAATTCAAAGTCTTTCTTCGGCGTGACTACACAAACACTGCCTTGAGGGTAGAGGTCGACCGATATGGTTTTTTTCCTGGCCGATATTTAGAAATCGAGGCAGCCGATGTCCGATATATGATACCAAATTTTTTTTGGTTGATATGTTTGGCCGATTTTTTTCTCTTTTTTCCCCCCTTTCATCTCATAAAATCTAACAGTTAATAAGAAATGAAACAGAAAATTGCTTAAATTACATTTATTGAACAACTGAACACAAGCCTTTCCAATAAGCGCACACATAGATATATATATATGAAGAGTTCAGATGCAAAAGCCTCTAAATGCCATTTGAAATTTTCTTCTTTAATGATGATTTTTATCAAACTTGTATATTTAAGTTCAGTAATTTCACTTAAATGGCGATGATAATTACCTATTAATTGTTATTTAAGTGAAATTCCTAAACTTAAATATACAAGTTTGATAAAAATCATCATTAAAGAAGAAAATTTCAAATGGCATTTAGAGGCTTTGGCATCTGAACTCTTCATATATATATATATATATATACTGTGTATATATATATATATATATATATATATATGTGTGTGTGTATTGCCTATGTTAAATATTAAATACACAAAACCGAGATGCTGTGTTTGATGGAGGTGTTAGACATGTCAGAGAATTCAAGGACTTCACAAACACTGCCTTGAGGACATGTAACTTTGAAGACATGTTGAAAGAATAGTTCACTCATAAATTAGGATTTTGTCACCATTTACTCAGCCCCATAGCGTGGCATACCTGTTTTTTTCTGTCTGCTGTGAAGAAACTTGGCAGAAAGTTCATGCTGCTCTTTTCCATGCAATCAAAGTGCATGATGATTGAACTCGCTAAAGGACAAAAAAGCACCATATAGTTAGTTCACATAAAAAGATAAAGTCATACGATAGCTTTGCACGAGGAATAATAATTATGTTTAATGATAATCTCGTAGCCCTGACCACACCCAAAATTATAGCAGCACGGTTCTGGAATTGATAATTTTTTTGTTTTGTTTCAAATACAGATCACAATTCTCCCACTATTCTGTGTATTACATAAACTAAAAGAACATTTATATATAATATTTTCTGGCTAGTTTACTTTATTTTTTTTATTTTTTATAATACACAACTTTCACCCAAACTGAATAATTAAAAACAAGTTTTTACCGGGTAGCCTAAATCGTCTGTAAATATTTTTGAGTCTTTATTTTCTTTTATTTGCCTACTCAGGTTCTTGTTAAAACTCACTAGACATGCTTATTCTGTGCATTTTGTGTGAAATCATATTCATTTTTGTCCATCAATAGTGTGCTTTCACTTTAATTGAGCATGAGCAGTGCAGCAAAAAACAGATTCAACGGCGAAACCCCCGCTTCACCACCACTCACGCGCTGCTACTGCTCCCGCTGTGAATGCACTCATTGATGACAGGCATGCCGAAAAAAATACGCGCCGCTCACGCATGCGGTGTGAAACGGCCGTTAGATACACGCCATCATGTACACATAAATCTCTGACCCATCGTCTTCTTCCTCATCTAATTTCTGTCGCTCTACATACGTCTGGTATAATTGAAACGATTGGCTATAAGCTACGTAAAGGTGCATTTGATAGACATTCGTAGCACCCAATAAACGACTCTGGGCATTCGTAAACCACACCTCAAATACGAGAAAATGAACATGTGGTTCCCAGGCTAGATTCAATGACAAATATATATTACAAAACAATGACTTGTCGCCACCTACTGGTGTAACGATTTAATCAATACTATCGTTATTTGAAGCGTCAGGTAAATTACTTTTCAAAAGGTTTACTGCTCAATTTG